GCATCTCCCGGGTCTGCTTCCGCGTGCGGCCACTCTCAAGCCCATGGCGCAGCGGGCCAGCGTTCGAGGCGCCCCAGAGGAGTTTCTTCCCTTCTAGCCCGCGGGGGTAGCGGTCGTCGGCTGGATCATACTTCAACTCCTCGAGGTTCTCGGAGTTGCCGGGATCACCATCGCTACCGCCGTCCTCACCTGGGTCGCCGGACTCTTCGCCGCCCGGGCCGCCGGCGCTACTGCTGCTGCTGCTCGGGCTGCTGCTGCTGCTGCTGCTGCTGCTGTCGGTGGGGCTGTCACTGCCTCCGCCGAAGTCGCCCCTTCCCGAAGGGGGCGACGGGGAACGCTGCCTCCGCCCCCCGGAATCCCGTTGCCGGGTGCCGTCGGCGCCCTCGCGCACAAACGGCGTCGCTTGCCCTGGCCCACGAGCCTCCATCACGTCGAGGTCGGACTCCCTCTCTGAGTCCCTCTCCCCCCCCAAACCTTGGCGTGATGCATCCGCCCTGCTCTCGCCCTCCCTGCCCTCCTCGTCATCTGCGAGAGGTAGCAGCTGCGGGGGAGCGGGCGATGCAGCGGGCACGTGGCGCCAGGTGAAATTGCGGGTGGTGATTAAGGTTCCAGCTTCGGGTAGCATGCGAACGCAGTCACGGGGGTGATTGTGTGCAGGACCAAGGTACCATCCTTTTTCGCCCTTGGGTTGCGACTTTGCTTTTCTTCTCGACTTGAACACGGCTGATTTGAGAAACGGGTATGTAGACCCGACAGGCGGTGGGGAGTCGTGGAACATCTCGTAGGCGGATTTGTCTCCCTCGTTTGATTTAGTGGCGGTGCAGTTCAGCTGATGGCATGCACACGAAATGGCCTCGGCCCACAACCCGGGGTGGTTCGGTGCGTCGGGGAACAGTTGCGTCGCTTGGATGCGTGACGCAAGCGCGGCATCAGTGATCAACCCTAGCGCTCTCTCCGCTACACCGTTGTATTTTGGGGTGTGAGGGGGGGTGAACTCTTGTTTGATGCCGTGTCTGCGGCAAACTTCCGCAAACTGCCCCTGGAACTCGCCGCCACCGTCGATACGTGCGATATAAACCTCACACGGAACCCCTTTCGTTCGGTGGTCCGCTATTACATAATAGGAACTTCTCAAACCCAACCGCTGCGTCAGACTTGTGTTTCAAGAAGAAAACACGCGTCCAACGGGAGAAATCGTCTCTGATGATCAGTGTGTATCAGTTGCCACCAATGCTCCTGGTTTTCATCGGTCCCCCCAAGTCGAGATACACGCGAAATATTTTCTCAACTGCGCGTGTGCTCGTGCTCTTCTGGACGGGTTTCACCTGTCCCTTGGACATCGAACAGCCAAGACAGGGTAGCAGCGGTCCATCCGTCAGCTGCACTCCCTGCTGCTCCGCCGTGATCCTGAGCAATGTCTCGTGGGCATGGCCGTGCGCGAGGTGGTACTCGTTGAGGTCAGTGGGTTTGGCTGCTTTCGCGTCACCAGGAACAATGAGTGCGGCACAGGCGGTGTGTAGCGTTGGCTTTATTTGATAGCCTCGTTGGGTCAGCAGCTTTCCAGTCCGGGGGAACCACACCTCCCCCCCGGCCTTCGTGGTCAGCGCNTCCGTATCCTAGAAGAGGAACGGGGGCCTTGTCGCTTCCGATCCCCTTCACCCAACCGCTACGCTCACGGTAGTTCACGAAGTTGTCTGCACATCGGAACATGGAGCACGTGGCCGCTGTGTCGGCCACGTACACCGCCTGGCCTTGTTCCACAACCCCCACTAGACGTACTTCACCAACGGTACCACACTCGCCTGGGGGGACTGCCACGGCGCAAAACGCCTGGTCTTCCACGGAGTCCACGTCGCCCTCATGCTCCACCACTTGCGCTAGGACGGCCTCCTCCGTCGCGCACTTTTCTATGGTGTGGCCCCACCCCTCGCAGCGCGCACACCACGGCACGAAGTCCTTCTCGGTGGTAGTGCAGCCGATCGCTTGATGTCCACGATGTCCACACCTAAAGCACCGGCCCGGGAACTTATAGTCCCCACCACCGCCGCCATCGGCGCCTCCACTGCTGCTTCCCTTGCTCTCCTCGACTCCTCCGGATCCGCCTGAGCGGCCGCCGCGACCGCCGCCGCCGCCGCCGCCGCCGCCGCGGCCACGACTGCTGCTGCGGCCACGGCCGCCGCCACGACCACGACCTTGCCCCTGGCTCCTACTTGAGTACCGCTCCCTGCGGCCCTCACCGTCTGCGAAGTACGCTTGCTCTGCGTCCTTCGCCCCTTTTCCTTTCCCCTGCTCAGCTTGTCCTTGATCGCCTTGTATTCGATCATTACTTCCTTTAGCACACCGGTCCGCGTCGACTCCTTCGCGTGTCGCACGTTGTGCTTTGTCATGGCATACTCGTCCGAAAGGGCATCCAGGAAGAGGTGAAGGACGAACGTTTCGTTGACAGTTAGTC